TACTCTGTTTTTTACAATAATAATTCTTCCTTTCAAATGAACAATGGGGGATGTGGAGAAGTCATGTATTTGAGGTAATAAACTGTACTGTGGTATTTTTCTTTCAAATAAGGACCATAGATATATTTTTCTGTGATTCAATGCAGTGCTTGTTTTCACTTCAGTTTCAAAATAAATTATGTTAGTCTTTATCATGGCTGTATAATGTTTATACTGAAGCAATAATACTGTTCACGAAGATGAATATTTAGCTCCAACATTTTGGAGTAATCTCAATAATCTAGTAAATTCACTAGAGAAAAAAACCAGTGCTTCAATATGACACAAAGCATACTGGTTGTAGTTCGGCACTTGAATACGTGGTATACGTGCCATTTGTTCCGACTGAAGTTATTCGTATTTCCTTTGCCAGGACTTTTTTATGCCTGGATCTGTTAACCTCCTTAAAGAGTGAGTTATCACTTTCTGTGGGACATGCATAAAAATGGCAGTGTTCAGTGCTGGCATTGCTGCCTATCCTGCTGTCAGGATGTTAGCTGTCTGACACTAGATGGAGATGCATGTTATCCTAAGAAAGTGGCAATATATTTCAAACACGTTACAATTATCATGTAAAGGCTAATGATGTCTGTTGAAAATTCTCAACATTTATCTTAAATGAACGGTATTTTTCTGTATGTAGGCTGAGCTAAAATGCCATCCAATATTATTCTGCAACAAGCTACATATAATTGGCCTTGTTATAGAAACTTAAAGGTCTTAAAGATATCTCATGAGTTTATTTTGTCACTGAAACATTCTGCTTTGGATTTATGTGTTAGGCTCATTTCACAGATGGTTTCTAAATTTACAGTTACACAATGCAAGCTGGTTATTTTTTTATTTTATTTTAAAGAACTCTTCAACAATCAAATTTCACCTTCAATTAATCTGCAAAACCCTTCTCTTGCAGCCCACCTTCACTGCTTGCCATCACAATATCTCAACTAGTTCTCTAGGAAATGAGACGAACACAGCCAAGTCCTTGCAGATTTAATGCTTCTCACTGCTCATTTTTCTTTTGTGAGTGTAAGGTATTCTTTTTATATGTGGATTAGAAGAAAGTATTGTTCCAGCTAGAGTTGGAGGGTTTAATTAAGAGGGAAGGTCTCCCAGCATGCCCACTAGATGATCAGGGCTGAATTAGTGTATTTCCCTGTGAGAGATCATTCCACAATTGAAACTCCACTACTGTCGGTGCTTATTGCTGAGACTGAGGGCTGTTATCCTACCAAGTGTTAGGGACCTTAGCAGTGATTGCTTACACTGGAAGGAACAGCCATGTTATAGATGTTGATGACCAGAATTAAGGCCTTGTTTAGGTGACAGAAATGGACGAAGAATTGGTGGACAAAGAGGGGTATGTGCACTTGCAAGGCATTGCACAAGGCTTTCCTAAACTGTAAAAGAAACTCTTGCATATCATAACGCTGAGGTACATGTGGGGAAATGTTTCTTTTGTTTGCCAGTCAAGTGATTTTTAGAAGGCAAAAAATCCCCTTTTTTGACTAAAATTTCAAAGTTGAAATGAAGTCAATGAAAAATTAACTCTAGCATGGGGAGTGCTTTTGGACAGTCTGCAAATACATATATAATAAAGGTTTTTCAATGATAAAGGATATATATTAGCCAAAACTTGGGTGTATCCTTGGGTGTCACAACAACAGAATGTCAACTGAAGTGCTTTTACTCTTGCTTCTAGACATTAATATACTGTTTTCTCATTGTAGTCCTATACAGCCATAGATCAGTAATCCCTTGCAGTCCTCTTTGGGGACACCTCTCAGTTTTGGAAAAAAAGATGAGGCCTTAGGTTGTATTTAAAGTGAGACTCTCTATGAACCTGCTAGTAGTGGATTTTCCAGACTAAAGGAAAAAGGAAGTCAAGGATATTAGTTGCTGTATTTAATTTATTACCTATTAGGATAAAAAGATCTATATAATAATGATATAGAAAAATCTCAAGTCATTCAGTTTTTAGAGGTGAACAAACCAGAGGGAAAGGAAGGTTTAACTTTGTGAAATGTCAATAGTTGAATCTTGGCAGCATAGGTTTTTGTTCCATTTTACTCAGAACATTACACATTGGCAGATAAAGATGAAAAAAATGGCTTACAATTCTATTCTACTCCAAGGTGGAAAAGAAATGTCTTGCATTTTGTGGATTGTGGTCAATTAAATGTTTTTCTCCTGGAACTAAATTCTGGATTGCCTTGAAGCTATATTGCATTTTACCTCAATCCACAACAGAGATCCCATCTTTCCCAGTTTTTCCCAGAGATCCCATCTTTCCCAATAATAGTGACACCATGTAAAGGTCCTGAGATTACAAAATGTGTTATGTCTGGTAGGATGTGGTAGGATCCCAAGTTCCAGATCTTTAGCCAAGTCTTTGCTCTGTCTTGTTTTTCTGTGAGACCTTGGACAAGTCTTATGTGTCCAAGCCCCACATCAATGTCTCTGCTTCCCGCAGGTGAGACAGATAAAGCAGAGGTAAAGAGTGCATGTGTCTGGAAGTAGGAGGTATCCCCACTGCAGTACCTGTTGGAGCTATACAGAAGAACACATCACATGTGATATTGCACTTGAATCCATTTATTACTCAGAACGCAACAGGGGAAGCTCAGGAGTCTCTGTTTCCTGAGCCAGTTCCACTTGGTGCACTAAGAACAGAGGTGTGAGCAGGTGACTCCCAAACTGCTCCTTGCTTCCTGCTGGAAAAGCTATGGAGTTAGTGGGTTGGCTACAGGACAGGTTGGTACTCTTCCATGAAAAATTCTCATCTAGGAAAGTGAAATTTTATCCATAAAAATCCTCATCTCTGTATAAAAATATAACAAACAGCCATAACAATATATAAATCTCCCTAACTTAAAAAACAGACTCTAAGAATATCTGCTGCATTTCAACTAATCTTACCTTTACCCTTCTACTGGTTAATACATCTATATGCTGGAGCTATAGGGAACCAAGGAATTCACAGTTGTTTTCCTCCATGCTCATTGCATTGCAATGGCTGAGATGATTCTGCAGGGGAAAAAAAAAAAAAATAAAAACAAGATGAAAGCAACTATTTTTTACATAAAATCACAACTTCTTCAGCAACTTTTCTTCTCCTTCAAACACAGCAAAGTTCCATGTCTTCATTTGGCGCAACTCATCCAAGCTTTAGCAACTATAGTGATGCTACACTGCTTTCCACCAGAAGAGCTAACCTGAAATGTTGCAAAATGATCTTGGCTGAGGCTCAGTCATGAAGACTTTCTGGGAGAAAGGCTTAAATATTTAGTCTAAATTCCAGTTTCTAACCTAGAGGGACACAAAGAAGTGTTTGACTGCGGCTGTCATCAAAATTCCAAATCATAATATCTTTTTTAGTGTACTTTAAACTCCAGAACAATTTTGATTGGTTTCTCTAATTGTACCAAAAAAAAAAAAAAAAATTCTTTAAAATTAATCTGACTATTTTGAGCCTAATCCAATTCTTAAGAAAAGGCTATGTGAGAAGGGGGAAAAATCAAAACTGGAGGCTGGGTATTGCTTTAGATCTGTGTTGCTTATATGACAACTGTCACATTCATGGTTCTACCAGGGAGAGCAGAGTGGCTGTAAGTGCTGTGGCCCCATCCTTCTTTCCTTTAGCACCTACAGGTATGATGACTGTACTCTGTAGTTATCCCACGCACTTTGCAGACATACTTTGCCCTGCTTCACAACTTAGTTTGGACCCGTGCCTGCCTTGGCAGTGTTCTGTTGTGTTTCATGTTTGGATTGGCGGATACCTTTTCACATTGTGCTCCCACTCACTATGATGAGATCCTGCTCCAACAAACACTTCCATCTCTCATTTATTATTTGCCCATGAGTAATACTGTTAAAATCATCAGGGCTGTGTCTGTCCTCGTGCATAAGGGTCTTACCGATTCTACTCTCTGAAATTCCTAAAGCCCCTTTGAAACACTTTAGTGAGACAAGAAAGCAGCGAGTCAACTTTAGCCAAACATCTCAGATTCCGGGATGTTGCTTTCCTCTGGTGAGGAAGAAAGAGAAAGGAAAAGTGTTTATGTCAAATGACATTCCAGAAATCTGCAAGACAGCTGTCATTTGTCTTTTGATGGTTCATCTTCGTAAGACATTGTCATGATGGATATTTATTTTCAGGTTTACGTTCCTATGCAGAACAGGGGTATTGTAATGCAATTACATTGCTGTCCACAGTTTAGTTTGAGAAAAAAACTATCCTTCCACTGCTTCAAGGCTGAATAAAAACCATCATGGAAAATTCTTATGAAAGAACAGAAAATATTACCCTTTTAGTAGGCTTTTTGTATTCTTCTAAATTCAGAATGTAATTAAATGATATCTCTACTGGAGAACAGCTTAAAATAACTGCAGAAAAGATAACATTTTAACTGAAGAATATAATTTAATAGACATTTCTATGGAAACTCTCATATTTCTATAGGATATCGTTATGAGCTCTTTTAAATTCTCTAAGATTTTTCCATTTGTTGATGCTGCATGTCTATAAAGGATTGTCAGAGACTGCTCAAAGGACAGAAAGCAAACATTTCACTTACAAATATGTGGATATAGCATCCAGAAATATGAAGTAATGCAACAGAAATATCAGGAATAAAATAGAAGCAATGAGTAGACCCTAACAAGTGAGTAAATAGCTAAAGTATGGCAAATTAGTTTTACATAAATAAATTCAAGGGGAGAGGGGGAGATAACAGTGTTAGATAATGGCATAGATGTGCAAAAAGACTCCCGAGGGATGTCTTTTTAGAGTGGAAGGTAGTATGCCTACTATTCATGCATATTTAAGTGGGTGGTTGATTGCTCTCACTGAACTGCTCGGCTTTACTGCAACTGATGGTGTTTGGAATGTGTAATGAAAGCAGAGGGTGGTCACAGTTCTTCCTTCTCTTTATTTATGTGTGCTTTTTAATTTTCAGAATGCCTATGTCAACATCAATCGGATCATGTCTGTTGCATCAAGGCTTTCCGAGGCAGGCCATTATGCTTCCCAGCAAATTAAACAAATATCTAGCCAGCTGGATCAAGAGTGGAAGAGTTTTGCTGCAGCTCTGGATGAGCGCAGCACCATCTTAGCCATGTCTGCTGTCTTTCACCAGAAAGCTGAACAGGTGAGCTGCTTTTGTGACTGGCAAAATGATCTACTGCTACTTTGATAATGATGATGCTGCAATTATTACCTGATGGCTTTTGGCTTGTATGCAGTGAGGTTAAGAGCCTTGTTCCTAGAGGATCAGTGTTTCAAAAACAAATAGTAAAATTTCCCCAAAAAAACTGGCACATGTTCCCTGAGTGGGTAAGAAAATATGTTTATGCCTTAGTGATGAGAAAGAATCTGATCATAAGTGAAGTGCAGTGGTGCAGTAACATGATGCTGTATTTCTATTGCCTAATATCTCATCAGTGCTGTGGATAAATTCGGGATTATTATGGTCAGAAAACCAGTATGTATTTGCACTCATATTTATACGTGGTATATGCTACATGCATAGGAATATTCACACATATGACATAGACCCATACCAGCAGACAGTTACTAGGAGCTAAAGCACATTATTGTTAATGAAACTTACGGAATTCATTCCACCACCTACTCTTGCAGTGCACTGCATAGCCCCAAACTTTTTTAGACCTCACTAAGTAGGGACTTCAGAGACAGCTAGGAACATCCAAGAAAATTTTCCGTGTCCCTGAACTCTGGTTTGTGTCTTTAACAACTACCAAAAATGTTCCATCATTTCATAGCTACAAAAGATTTAAAATATGTCAGTGAATAAACCTTCTGCTTTTTTTACACCTAAACCAGGTCCACTTAACGGTGATGGTTCAACTTTGATCTTATGTTGATTACACTCATTTTCCAGTGACAAACACTGCTTTGGGGTTCTCTTCAGTATTGTTGTGTGCTTGTTTTTCCAAGTAGTTAATATCAAAGCTACTAAGTGGGTGTGCTTTATGTTTGTAAAATGACCCATACTTCAAGTGTCTGAAGAAGAAATTATAACTGATAAGCCAGAAACTGTGCCTTGTAAGCCAGAATATATGTATGGAAAAGTTTAGCTCAGAATATATGTATGGAAAACTTTAGCTCAAAGAGTAAAGATTTTCTTTATTGTTTGTTTCTGACCATAGAATTATAATGGATTTTTCTTTATTTTGTGTTTCCTATTGAGAATAGGCCATAGCATAGAGCAATTACTCACCCTACTGGGCACTTACTCATGTAAGCACACTCAGTGGCTCTAATGGGACTGGTACACTAAGAAGATGCCCAGTATGAGTACTTTCATCTCTGTACAATGGGCACTGTAGTGTTTAGGTGTAGTCTTCATGTTAATAATTGTCAGTCATCATATGTTCATAAAGAAAAATCAATAAAGAATTTATATCCAGTCTATAGTCACAATAAGAATGTTTAAGTTTTATTAATTAATTAGTTCTCTCTTGTTTGTCTTGGTTTGTTTGGTGTTTGGGGTTTTTTTGGGGTGGGTTGTTTTTTTTTTTTTTTTTTTTTTTACAAGCGATCCCCTATTTTTCTGAAGTGTCAGTCTTGTTTGCAATTTTTGAGGAGTTGCTGAGGTATTGTATAACATGAAAGGCAATAAAACGGAAGGCTGTATGAACTGTCTGTCAAGCTAGAGGTGAATTTTTTTTTTTGTCTTCCTACCTTTTGAACACTGTCAAAGCGGGTATTTTGCCTCAGCCTTAACTTGGAAAAAAGCTACACTAATGTTACTTTCGGCTTTGGGTCTTTTTTCTTTACAATTGCATGGATGGGTCTGAAAAACCCAGTCCTACCTTGGCATCTCTTCATAAGGGACTGAAGTTTGTGCTGCCTGACAGAAGCTAGCCTCTCGTTACTAAGCAGATGAGAGAATTTGCTAATTGTGAACAGCAGTTCCTCCTCACTTGCAATAAGAGACAATTCAGTTAGAGATAAGTGCTGATGTGAAGCCTGTAAACTCAAACTGCTGCAGAAAAGAAATGTGGGAGTCAGTGTGTCCATTAGCCAGGACAAAAATTTCAGCCTTGCTTTAGTAATTCTGGTAGGATAAAACAACGGCTTGAATGCTAATCATTTAGTCGTTTGACTTCTGTATAGTATAAGAAGTGAGGTGTTTTGGATTTGGTCTATAACTCAGTCTGTTGTCTATCAAACATTCATTCCAAATGTGACTATTATTTGGCATCACCCAAGGGTTTATTTTTCCTCAAATCAGAGCTTTATTATTTTACAATAAATAAGGCTTAAATCTCTGAAGCAAAGATGTAGATAAACCCACTATTTCCTCTGTCCCAGATTAAATCTTTTTTTGCTCCCTTTGTTCTGTCAGTAAAGGTAGTCTTGTTGTGGATCCAACCATTTCTCCCACAGTGTATCCCTGCCTTCCTCATACCGATCTGATATGCATATTGTCTTTCCTTCTCCAGTGCGATAAGCTGCTACAGTCTCTTTGTTCATTCCTTCCTATTGATTGAAGTTCTCTGTGATGCCAACAGGAAGCAAGTCTATTAGGACCGTAATCTTTTAGCCTTTGGCAAACCCCAGCCTGCAAGGAAGTTGTTGGCTTGGGACAGAGATTTATGAAAAGCTCTACGATCTCTATAATATGCAAGCTGAGCAGGAAGCAACTTGTTTTTCAAGGTCTCTTCCTAAAGACCCCACACAGAAAACTGCACAGAATACAATTTGTCTGGCTTGGAGGGATGAAAGGCTGAGTCAACCCTGCTGGGAATTGAACCTCACATCTGTCTTCACGTGCCTCGGAATCACATTGCTTTCCTGGCTCTTATAGCAGATACATGTGGTATGTTGAATGGAACTTGGCTGAATGAGTTCCTGGATCAAAGCTTTTTTTTTTTCTCTCTTTGTTTCTTTCCTTTTCTTCTTTTTTTGGTGTGTGTGTTTGTATGCATGTGTGAGTCTTAATTTTTTTTAAACACAATTTCTGCATACTAAACCGTCATCAAGATAAGAGCAAAGAAAAGAAAAGGAAAAAAAAGGAAAGAAAAGAAAGAAAAGACAAATCTTGCCAACTTAGCCTCCTGCAGGCTTCCTTCAGCACATGTGTTTGACCAAAAGCCAGTATACTAAACTCCAAACAACCACTATGTCCAGGTCAAGGTGCAACTCAGGATATTCAGTGGAGGTCTTTCCCAAATGTCCCTTCATTCCACCTGCTACAAATCTCTTGGATTTTGGTTTTTTTTTTCTTCTTTTCTCTTTTTTGTTTGTTTCCCCTCCCTTTCTCATGCTAGCATGGAGATATTCTAGTGCAAAAGAGAATCTGCTTCTGTGTCTTTAGGTATGTCTGAGGCTATTCAAGGTTGCAAGAGAACATAGGAGAACATGCCTTATCTCACTGTGATTTCAAGAAAACTGTGATGATTTACACCAGATGAGATCCTGGCCCACTAACTGCCAGATGGGGAAAGCAGATATACCAGGTGTCCTCCCTTTCTTGGATGTAATCTCTGAAAGTGTGCTAAAGTATTCATAAGATGCTCGCTCTACAGATCCTGTCAGAATGAACAAATTAATGTCTTCAATCAGCCAAGAGATCTCAAGCAATTAATTCTGGGTCAAAGTCTACCCTCAGAAGTGCACAAGCAGAATTACTATTTAAGGTAGTAGGTGTTAGGTGCACACGCTAGACATTTATGCTGATTCTCTGAAGACTGACCCCTGACCATTTGTTTCATATTACCTTACTCCCCAACCAAGAACACTACTGTTATCATCTCTGCCTCGATCTCTCTAAGCACATCCTGAACTCCCCTATTTGAGGAAAGGAAATGAAAAAGAGAGGAAAAGAAAGAAGGGAGGAAGAATTTGAGGAAAGGGAGGAAAGGAAAAGCCAGTTGATATCTATAAGATGCAGGGATAAGACCAAGATAACTTCTGCATTAGATAGGGAAATTCCAGAAACAACAACAGGAAATGTACAATTAGCCTCATACAAAAAATTCAGGGCATCAAGAGATATTATAGGTCATTTAAGGAAAACAATTTCATGGCTTTCTTCCCATCTTTCCCCACAGCCATTCTGGAGCATGAAAGTACACTAGAGTTTGGTTTTAATTTCTCCGGGGCCTAGGGGAACCACCCTGGTCATCCTGCAGCTTTCAGACAGAGGCCTTAGCAAGCCATAAACAAGGACTGTGCAGAAAGTGTGGAGAAATATGGACTATAAAATGTCTGAGCTGTGTTTTGGAGCAACCATGTGATACAGCATAGCAGTCCCTGAGGAAAGCTAGTAAGAAGTGGCCTAAGAATACATTATTACCTGACCTAATACAGAATTTGCAACTTAGGTGAATAGATTGTGAGTCAGGACTGAGCGTAGGTCATTACCTGAAAGTTACTTTTGGATTGGATCAGAGGCACAAAGGTATCTTAGGGACTTTTTTATTTTTTAGGAGAAATTTTTCTTAATCTTTCCTGAAGTCTTGACAAACATCGACAATTACTGGAGCCTGTTATTTCAAATCATATTGAAGCAGCTTTTATGTTCCCAATAGGAGCTATTCTAGTCTATGGGCTAGCTTGAAATTTAAGCAATTAATTAAATGGTATTGAGTATCCAGTGGACAGTAACAGCTCCTGTTCCAACCTAACAGTTAGCAATTTACAATTTTAAATTCATCTTTTTTCAACTCAGTCAAATGGTGTTTTTTGTGTTATGAATATTTCTAGCATGAAGGGTTACATTTAATACAGTTTTTTGTGTCTGCCACAGTGTGTGACAAATAGTAAAAATTAACATAGCTGCTTTTTTCAAAATACCCAAATCAATAGTCCTATGGTATGAACTAACGCTTTGCAAAAATCCTTAAAAAAAACATTTGCTCTCCCTATGTGAATCTACGCACACAGCACAGATCACCATGCACTGTTTCAGGGTATCGGAGTAAAACACTGACAGGCTGCATTTCTTAAAACTTTTTGAAAAAGATGATGTCAACTGCTCCTACTAGTGGCAGAAGTGAAATTACTGCTGTAATTGTTGATGTGACATTGTCTATATACAATAGATATATAAAAGAAAGATAGATGTGAGACAACAAGGTGGAAATGTGGTTATGTGCATAGGATGTTCTTGAGACTTCTCCCACCTACTGCGCAAATCACAGTCTGGGGATATGGCAGTACATGAGCAACGTGACTATAAGAGCTTGTAAATTCTACTAAAACCGGTAGAATTCAACGGTTTTGATAAGAGCCATAATAGTGTGATTCCAGCAGCAGGAACACTGGTCTATAAGGTGTAAAGGTCTTTTGTTCACTGCTTTGACCAAAAGGTTCACGTAACAGCCCCAAAAGGGATTGATCTCAACTCCGTGCTCTTAAAACTGCATAGGAAATGATGTGAATTCCACTGCCTTGGCACAAAATATGATGACTTCAGCTTTATGCAAGGGTGTTTGGGGATTTAATCTGAAGAAATTCAACAGATCAGGAGTGAAACCAACACAAGAGAACCTTCCATCCTTGCCTTCAGTCTTCTAGAAAGCAGAGTTTTCACTGGTAGATTTATACTTTGTAGAAATGAATGTTTAGGAATTCATCTTTGTCACTGAATCTTTGTGCACTGAAAAGAAGTGTTTACAATGCAAACACTTTATAGGCTTGATTACACAGCAGCATGGTGAATAGCTTTACACTGCTAATAAAAAAGGATGCTGATGCCAGAGCCAGAGTTGAATTGAAATTCTTTGCTTTGAATCTCACAGCCCTTCATGCTGTGAACGAGTGCTTTACTAACAAGCCACAGGTGAACACTTCAGGAGTGGATAAAGCTCTAATCCCAGGGGTGGTTTTGTGGCATTATACATTCACCCTACAGGGCACTGCATCTGTTGTATAATTAGCTGTTCTTTTTTATAAATAGCCCTAAAGTATGGCAGGCTGGTTTAACAGAAAGATGGAGGAAGAAAAAATATTAATGAGAAGTAATGAGGTGGCATTAGGCAGTCAGTATGGACAAAATATGAACATGTGAGCTGTGTCACTGAAGTAAGACCTGCTTAAAAGATGTTGTGGTTTAAGCCGGCAGGCAGCTAAACACCACACAGCCGTTCGCTCACTCACCCGCAGTGGGATGGAGGAAGAGAATCAAAAAAAAAAAAAGTAAAACTCATGGGTTGAGATAAAGACAATTTAATAGGACAGAAAAGAAAGGGAAAATAATAATAATGACAAAAGAATATACAAAACAAGTGATGCACAATGCAACTGCTCACCACCCGCTGACCGATGTCCAGCCAGTTCCCGAGCAGCAGATCCCCAGCCAGCTTTCCCCCTAGTTTATGTACTGAGCATGACTTCATATGGTATGGAATATCCCTTTGGTCAGTTGGGTCAGCTGTACTGGCTGTGTCCCCTCCCAACTTCCTGTGTACCCTCAGCCTACTCGCTGGTGGGATGGGGTGAGAAGCAGGAAAAGGCCTTGACTGTGTAAGTATTGCTCAGCAGTAACTAAAACATCAGTGTGTTATCAATGTTATTCTCATCCTAAATCCAAAACACAGCACTATACCAGCTACTAGAAAGAAAATTACCTCTATCCCAGCCGAAACTAGGACAAAAGAAAAACAGGATGGAAGCCTTAGAGACTAAATTCCTCTTTTCTTTCACAGAACAGGCAGCACCCAGGAGAGCTTCCCCAATTTGTTCTGCCAAAGTGCATCAGCACTGCTCTGGAGGCCTTTAAGAGTGGAAAAATATTTTTTTCCATCCCGCTGCTCCCCGAAGCCGTTCAGTTTCTGGCTGTCTGTTAAGGCTTCCAACGAAGGTGCTAAACCATCTCAGTTGCAATGGCGATAACTTTTTTTATCCCTTTTAGTGGATGTCTGCCTACCGGGAACTGTACTGAGACCAGCAGCTCATTTTGCATTGGCTGCTTAGCAGCTGTCAGATGGTAATGGTACCTGATCACTGCTGAACTGGGCCAGAATCAGATGTGTGACCCAGGGGTTTAAATCCTTGGTGTCCTATTAGCAGTCACACTGAGCTGGCCTTGGGTTGGCAACTGTGTGAATACAGTCTGCCTTTCACTGAAATTAATGTCAGCATTGATTTTAATGGCAGTTTTCTATTGCCCAAATTAGTAGTGTTAAGGACAGGTAAGCGACCTAGGGAAGATTGACAGCCGAGACTGCCAAATACAGCTGGAGCTGTAACTGTTCCTTCTGTGCTTCACTCTGATGTTTTTTTCTAAACATCTTGCAGCCTCCCTTTTTGGAATGCAATATTGTAGCCTCCCTCTGTGGTATGCAAAGACCCTTAGAATGGGTGTTTTCTGAGCCTCGTTAAAGGAGCATTTGTTTTTAATCCAGAAGAAATAGAAAACATTCCTTTGGATCTAGGTGTTCTTCAAATACTGAGGAGGTGATAGGAATGTGCTGTTCCAGGGCGCCCAAAAGGACTCTTTTATAACTGTTACATTTTCCTCAGTCCATGCTGCAGTCATCTGTGGCACTTTACAAACAAAGTTTTCTGATGTCGATGAGATGTTGCTCTGTGTCACTGTTGCTCATTGTTCCTGGAATTGTTTCAGTTCCTTTCAGGTGTGGATGCCTGGTGCAAAATGTGCAGTGAAGGAGGCCTCCCCTCAGAAATGCAAGACCTGGAACTGGCCATCCATCATCATCAGACCCTGTATGAACAAGTAACACAAGCCTACACAGAGGTATGTGCTTCCCAGAGAAGAACGTATCTGTTAAGCGATAACAGATATTTGACTGCATTTTGGAGCTTAGCTTTTCTAAATGAGATAGGTTCTGCTTTCCATTTCTGCAACTTTTTCAAAGAAGGAGTTAGATCTAATCCCAGGCTGTAGGAGGTGACTCCTAGCAATCTGTTTGTAAGGGCACAACAGGACAATCTGGGGGACAAACCCCGTACAGAAATGAAACCTAGAACTAGTGTTGGCGCCCCTAAGAAAAGCCACTGTCGTTGCCGAACAGGGAATCTCTTTAAGCCCCCAGGAGCTTTACTCCTGTTACTCTCCTTCTGTGAATGAGTCCTGGCTCTAGCGTAGGTATGCTAACGGGAACAGAGGATGCCAAAGGCTTTTTCCTTCAATATACAAAGTCACAGAGATGTCAGGTCCTCGTTACAATGAATGTTGCAAGAGACTGTGCTTTGGATAGAATCATAGAATCTAGAATCATTTAGGTTGGGAAAAACCCTGAAGATCATCAAGTCCAACCATTAACCTAACACTACCAAGTCCACCATTAAACCACATCCCTAAGCACCACATCAGGTGTATTTGTATATACTGTTGTCAAATATCTCAGACCTAAATAGGGTATGTGGTTTTTTTCCTTTAAAAGGGGGTGTCAAGGATGCTAAGAGTAAACATATTCTCTGCCATTTTGTCAAAAAAACCATAAAATTCTTCACTTGCTTTTTCCCCCATCCAGACTGCAGCATAAAATAAAAGCTACCGACAAACAGCCGACATGCAGTGCATCTGACTGTGCAGGCCAGGGTCTGTGTGCAGTCCGCTTTATTTTGCAAGAGGGCTGCAGGACCTCCCTGGCATCTGGGAGGAGTCCTCTGAGGAGTGAGGCTAGTCTAGATGTTCACCCCAGGCATGGGCTGACCTGCAAATTACCCTGAGGGTGGGAAGCCATCTACATTATCTGTTCTATTCTGTTATTCTTGTCTCCAGGACTCAAGCTGTGTACTGTACTGTGCTGTGCTTGACTGTCTTTCTGAGTATCAAGGGATTTTACTCCTTGCAGGGTTTTCCAAGATGGACCCGAGGACTCTGGTAGTGCTTGCTATACTTAGTAAGTTACGAAGTAAAGACTCCAGAACAGAACATAACAACTCTCCTCTATGCTCAGCCCCTGCTCTGGTCATTGTGTTCTTGGAAGAATCTATAGTATAAAATAGAAGAGAAAAGGATTTGCTAATCTAGGCTCAGTGGTAGGCACTCACGCATATACAGTGAAGTTGTGCAGATACCTTGATGGTGAATGTAGGGAATGTTAGATAGAAATCTCTTATTTTCCAAACACCTGCATGAATTTGGGAGTTAGTCAATTAGAAGGAGGAAATCTGGGTTGCAATCACAAAGGGCAATTCCTTATTCAATACTCACACTTCTCAGGAATAGCGGGTTGTGTGAACAAACACAAAAAAATCCTGTTGACCTCCAGTTGCAACTGTGAATTTTATACAAGTGCCTAGTCAGGTGAAACTAAGGTTTTTTGATTGCATTTAAAAATTATTTCTAAAAATTAAGTGAAATTGGGATTAAATAAAAAATAATAATGTTTGAAACTGGCATTTTGTTTATCAGCCCCAATCTTAGGTTTTGTGAAATGAAAATTCATTTAAAACTCATTACCAAAAGCAACCTTTAACATGCTTATTGCTTTTGCTGATGCTTCCTCGGAACGCTATGACTTGTTGCAGACACAGCTGTTTACAACATTTCTATATTATTTTACTAATAAATACATTTTTAAACAGTATATAGAATTGCCAGAAAGGTTACAGTCTTACTTCAGAAATGTTCATCCCTTTTCTCACAGCTACATGGTGAGCTGAAAAGCCTGGATTAGACTTAGGAGTCCTGCCTCCTATCCACCTCCTATCCTGCCTATTTCTCCAGTCTAGATACCCTTGCCCATGGAAAATAATGTTTCTTCCCTCAGAGCTCTCTATGGTGGGATGAAAACTGTAGCTTTTTCTTTCCTTCCTTTTCCTGCAGAGTCCTGCATTGAAAATCTCTGTTTCTATTTCTATAATTGTAAGAGATTTGGAATAGAATGAACATTCCTTGGAATAACCATTTAATATGGATATTTAATAGGATATTAATTAACATTTAATAGGATATATGGGCCAATTCTGTTCTATAACAGAGTATAACAAAGCAGTTCAGATTTACTGCAGGAACCTAAGAAGAGACACCTAAAGAATCTTAGGGAGACTCTTTTTTTCCATCTTGCCATGGTTGTAGCCATAATTATTTGCCTTCTTGCCTTTATTGCACTTGAGTGAAGCTCAGAAACAGTGGAGGCAGAGATCATAGGGCTGACATGCAGTCCACAGCTAAGCAATCCTCTCCTGCACTAAGCTGAGCTGCTGGCAGAACAGGCCTTCTTCCTTCTTTTGAGAATCAAGTGGTGCTCTTTGCTCTTGCTTTTACTTTGGGTAGAACAGTGCTGGAGGGAGGCGACACACAGGAGATGTATGCCTTTGGCAGATTCCCCTCTTGCAAAAAGAGTTCTTCTAGATGTCTCTAGCCAGGGTGTGCTTATGTTGCTCCACCAGTGTTTGTAGTGGATGAACAGCAGGAGACAAACTTGGGACACACCTACCGATGACTGTACTGATTTGGTAAAGACAAGGAGGGAGAGAGAGAAAGGTTTTCTCCAGTCAGGCTTGAGCCTGGTTGATGGTAAGAGCATCTTGTTCAGTGTGACTTGGTTAACTACACTTTACTCTCTGTTCCCAGAGGCATGATATATTTGCTCTGAAGACCAGTTTTTTTCCCTAGTGCAAATTGTAGCTGTTTCACAGATGGCACCATTAGTCTAGTCACTTGCAAGGCTTTGGAAGTCTTTCTGACTCACTATATAGGATATCTACAGATTTTAACTTATGTAGACAGCAACCGTGAATATTATTCCGCTGGCACAACAAAACCTATTTTTTGGTTCACCCAAGCTCACATAACTTCTTACAGAGGCATTTGCATACTGCCCATCCTAGCCCTTCTCCTACCATGAAGCCAAAATGCAGGAATATCACCATATCACAGGAGTATATATATGTCTTGTGTCAGGTAGCGAGTTAAACCTTCCCAGAGAGTCCAGCAGCAATTCTGTACTTTTCAAAATAAGTGAGAAATGGTCAAATTTGCTTTGACAAATGCAGCACTAACATTTACACCTTACAGGGACTGCAAGTCATGCTGGGTACAGGTCCATTCAGTTTAAGACTTTTGCGATACCTCTTAAAAATACATTGTAAGTGAGATGTAAGTGAAGTGGTGCAACTAAGCTGGGTTGTTGATGCTTGTCTCCTTGCACAGTCCTTGAAAAATTCAAAAGATTCACATGAAAAGAGATTTGGTGATTTATTTTTGCAGTTACGAGAACATGGAAATGATTGAAAGAGCACAGTAGGTAGCTTCTCCATTTGTGAAGCTGTTCCCTTCCTTTCTGAAATCTGTTCATTGGTGAACTCTAAGAGCACAAACCTTCTGTGCCCATTGATTGGAAATGCAGTAATATTCACAACAAAAATACTTTCAGAAAAGAAACTTTTTAAGCCAAAGAACTTCAGAGCTGCAGAAGATATGAAATCCTGGAATATGTATGTAATCCTTGTGAATACTGAGTACCACTGGTTACCTGATTGTCACTGTGCTGCTTGCCATATATTTACTCCAGCATGACCAGACAAGCATGTAAATTGGAGAGCAGAACACTTCTAATAGCCTCTGATTTGTGTTAATGATTATTAGCAGGACAACACAAGCACTTGAAATCTGGCGTTTATCTCTGGCTGTGCAGAGAATAATTGGAAGTCTATGCCCATCAGGGAAAAATCATAACTTGTAATCTCTGAGGCTTTTTAAACAACAGGAACAAATTATTGTACAATAGATAAAAGCCTAAATCCTATAGAAGAAAAAGGAGTAAGAGAGAATGCAGAAGTGTATTTGCTCTTTACCTCACACCACAAATCTGGGAGAACATTGTCCTGTCAGCTTCAGATGAAGCAGGGGCATATAAACTGTTGCCTTTGAAACAATCTTTTTGTTCTGCTTGCTTCTGCCATTGAGACTTCTTATTGTAAAGGCCTTGGCCATATTCACCCACTAGTCAGCTCTGGAAGAGCACTTTTTTGTAAGACGACTGAATTTAGTCTGGTGTTTTGATCAGTCATGATTAGTATACAGAATATTTCACCCAAGGATCTGACCCCTCAAACTGGAAGAATTGCAGGATTATACCTCTGGGAGGCAAAAAACTGACATGCAGGGCCTGCACTTGGGAGATGGTGTAGGTATGAATAGATCTATATTATGGCACAAAGTTTCCAGGAAAGTTGTCCTGAGTAAAGAATGTCTACCGTATTGTCTGTGCAATCATGTATCTCTTAGTGGTAAACTTTTCAACCTTTATTGTTAGTCCTGATTCTGCTGTGATTTCTATTGGTGTAACTCAGCAGGGACTATACTAAAAGCATTGTAACACCACCCAGGGGCAGATTCAGACCAACTGTAAGCCCAAAGGCCAGTGCCAGGAACATAGTGAATTCACACAGTGAATTTAGCCAGTGCAAAGAGTGAGTTTCTGGTCTAGTAAGCTGCTCCCAAGCATGTGCATAGTCTTGGTTTCCTGTTCCCAGTGATTAAATTGTTGCTAATTATCTTCCCACAGATAAAATAGGATGTAGTATGCCTTGCCTCCTTCCCTGTCTAGAAGCTGCTTCTTCCTGCCTAGCAGCTATTGCCACCTCCATAATGTTGCCAAGGTAACACCTGTGCCTCAGTGTTTCCTCCTAAAATCCTCCCTCATATTGTCACTATCCACTGCTGTTGGTGAGTACAATCGTTCCCTCTGTGACCCCAGCAGGCTCCAGCATGTGCAAATTGTTCCAGCTGGTCTTCAGCAGCAACTGAATTTGAGTATGGAAAGCCACTCCCTATGGACTCTCCAGTTATTTCCTGATCTAATTCCAAATTGCCCTGAATATTTAAAAAAATCTCCAAGGATCTGCCTAAGCCCACCTAATAGTCACATAATATGATGAGATTTGACTCCCACTTTTGCCAGTGTAAATCTCAAAGGCTCTCTTGATTTCTCTGAAAATGCACTAGATACACATTGCTACAACAGACTGGGACGTGGCATGGCTTGCCAAAAGACACAGGTTTGGGTATTAAAGGATATTTGTTACATTTGAACAAGCAACTTATAATACAGAAATAAATGAGACTTGGAAATCCTTGAGATGTGTTTTAACTTTGACTGATAATGTTCAAAATTTAAACTGGATGAAAAACATTCATTAAGCCATCTCTAGCAAGGTTGGTGATTTTGATTGCATAGAAATAAAAACATTTTTCAGAAAATCTTGTCATTTTCACTGCAGTTTGTTTCAGAGGGAAAAAAGAAAAGTGGGCTGGGAAGAGGAGGGGGATTCCAATAGTGTCCTCATTTACCATTTCCGTTGAACAAAATATTTTAACTTTGCAATCTGCAACCAAAAAATATTTCAAAAAGCCATTTTTAGAGAACCAGTGCGTGCACACTCTTGTTATTAGCAGTCTGGGTTTTATGGTTCCATTTTTCATTTTGCCCCTGCAATATGAAAATGCTCCAGGAATGTTCCAGGAAAAAATCTGGCGTAAAAAATCAGGCATTTTGGTTTTTTTTTAATGCCCAAATGTCTCTGCATCTGCAAATGTGTTTTAATATGCTCAAAAAAGGTTACACTTGTGTAGAGGGCTTTGCATTTGCCAACAAACTTTGTAGCCCATTGAAAATGGAGACTGTCCCTCTGAGCTGTTCCTGGGGAAGAAAAGAATCACTATCCTATACTAATTTATTTTTCACTGCCACTGAATGAAATACAGTATTGAAATGTCACACTTCTCAACGTATATGCATACTTAGTAATCCTACGAAGAAAGAACTCTCCCTTATCATACAGAATATGAATGACTCTGCCATCTGTGGTTTTCTTAAAATGCCACCTCCTCAGAAAAATAGGCCCGCTATTGCAAATGCCACCTGTCATCAACTAGTATATGTCAAGAATTTTCAGTGCCCGAGTGTCAGAACGTAATATAGTCTTGGGATTGCTGTCTCTATGTATGCAGTCCCAGCAGTGCAGTATCTGTGCTCCTACTGAGTGACACAGCAGGCCCACTAGGAAGCAAAGGCAAGTGCTGAATGTGTAAGTACAAGTCAAAAAGAGATGTTATGAGGTCTTTCTTCCTTTTTGACTAAAATAAGGAAAACGCACAGGGGAGAAAGAATCAGCTAGACTGTTCTCTGTCAGCTATTGGATGTTTAAGTATCAGTGCAGTGAAGCAGACCTATTTCTTCACTCAGGTAAGCCAGGATGGCAAAGCCTTGCTGGATGTCCTACAGCGTCCCTTGAGCCCTGGGAATTCTGAATCCCTCACTGCTACTGCAAACTACTCCAAGGCTGTTCACCAGGTGTTGGATGTGGTACATGAAGTCCTGCATCACCAGCGGCGCCTAGAGAGCATCTGGCAACACAGAAAGGTCCGACTACATCAAAGGCTGCAGCTCTGCGTTTTCCAGCAGGATGTTCAACAGGTAATATCATTATTAAAGGAGATAAAGAATGGTCCCTTCTTTGCAGCTATAAAGATTGTTTGGTGACTCATCTAGAGGATATTGCCGTAACCAAGGCTTCGCACGCAGCTCTATCTATGCTAGAAATATGCTAAAATCCTAATGCGCCTTTCAGTACCTTTCATTTTCATGTTGGAAATCATCAGTCAGTACATTGATTATTGATCAGTCCATTTTCCACAAAAATGTGACACTATTTTCAGTGGTTAATTTTTCACAAGTGAGCAATTAGCTGTAAGTACTCTAGTGTTCTTGAGAAAGTGATGTTTAACAGAAAAAAGAATTTCAAGTGTAAAAAGCAATTGAACTGTGGTGTATTTCACCTTTCTATGTGGAAACAATACAGATACAGACCTTTTAGTGGTGGTGTTTAGATGATCTTTGCATTATTACCACTTCTGGAGTCTACATACCTGTGCTATGAGTTTGCTGGCTCAAAAGAACTGCACAACCCAACGTGCAGAGCCCACCTCACAGAAATACAGTTTATACGGTACAGGCTCACCTCTGAGAACTCGGGCTCCAGGTGCATAACTTTTCTGTCCCAAAGGAATCCATTTGAATACCAGCACAATAGCGTAACTGACAGTAAGTATGAGATGCTATGTTTGTAGCTGCCAAATATGCAAGCACAATCAACAGATGTTACAGGACTCTGCTCATTCAGAATGGTGTGGTTTGTTTAAGGGCCCCATTACAGCCTGAAGCAGATGTTGGTAGCAATATGGTACTTGCTTTAAATGAAGAGGCTGAATGCTCTAATCATGTTTATGGAGCATTCTAATGTCCCTGGGGTTCTTTATGTCATTGCCTTCCTCCAAGTGAAAAATGAGGTGGAGACGGAGTGACAAAGCTGTCACATGCAAAATAGACGTGAACCAGCAACGACAGGAGACAGGCAACTTTTATTGAACATTCAAATTTGTGGTCCTGTTAGTGCCATAGTTGAAGTGCACCAGCACAGACAGAACTGCATCTGTAGATATCCTTTGCAAATATGTATGACCATTTCTTTGGCAGTCTTGAGAGGTTTGCTGGAATTTCTACCTGCTCAGTTTTTCCTGTAAAACCACACAAATATTCATGCCATATATATAACTAAAACTGGGATTGAATGTAACAGATGCTTAATTTAAGCAACTTCACTTCCGTTACGTGTCAGCAAACATACTGCATGGTAGTGAAATTCATAAGCTGTATATTAATTAGAGCATGTACTTGGAATTCAGTTAGAATACTCTCTGCAAACTATGTAAAGTTAATACAGTTTGGGGGTTAAAATCTCAAAAATCAATGTTGTAAATTCTGATGTTATTATGCTTTTTCCAATTGTGGTATATAATGTCAATAAGAATCCATATTATCTTAGGTATTCTTCATCCCCTAGGATGATTTACACTTTTGTTCAATCTTTCCAACCCCAAACTTTCTCTGTTACATCTTCTGAAATCAGTAGAAGTGTTTATGAGGTTCATTCATGAAACCCATTCAGACTTTTACTTCCCACATATGCAAGGCAATGAGGCTGTGTCACTGGTTTTCAAAAGGAACAGGTCTTTTGTATGTACTGTGACTTTTGGTGAAAGGAAAAGAAACAAGCAGTAAGAGTCACTGGAGTACAATCACTTTAGAGAGCATCACTCTGTGTGAGTTCTGTTGGCAGCAATCTTTCCAAATTTTTCTCTTAATGGGTAGTTATTATCTGGAAAGCAACAACTTAATGACAGACGTGTTTCTGTCCTAGCGCACACTTACTGGAGGCATCTCTTTGTCCTACTTAGAAAGTAGAGAGGAAGAGATGAATCATTCTGTTCACTAAACATCTGTACTATTCAAGATAAATGCTTTGTAACTCATAAATGAAATTATCAGCTAAACAGGAATAGGAAGTGTAGACTCCATGAGGAGGAAGAAGATATCCGAGTATGTTGATGGATTTTTTTTTTTTAAATAATCATGTCCTATATATCTGTCGTGCAATTCCTATTATGCTTATTTTGTTAAATGTCCATCAGTTGGCAGGCGAAGCTGTCTACCTGTATGTTGTCACTAATCATAAGTAACATTTGTCTATAGCAATTTGTTACCTTGTCAAAATTTAACAACTTTTAACTAAGTTCTTCCTGGTTCAAGTCTAAAAAAAAAAGATGTGGGAGAACAAATCCTGACAGGAGAGCCCCAAGTTTATTAGACTTTGCTATCTTCTAGACAAGTAATGATACAGTGTAGTTCCTCTAAGGAAGATGCTCCTTTTCCCTTTCCACCCAGCTCAAAATTAAGCGTGTTCTCACAGATGCAGTTTTCCCTATCAGGATGTCCCATAGCTCACCCTCTCCAGCTGTTGGCCAGTGCAGTAAAAATTCTGGTGAAAGATGTTCTCCGTGTCAGAACTTATACTCCCTCACTTGTTCATCTATACCTTTCTCTTCATGTTGGCTGTTCTGTATCAATCTTGTCTTAAAAACAGATGTGAATAGGGACAGGTTTTGTTGTGTTGCATGTTCTTAATAATGACTCCAGGATTATTTTGCATCCTCTCAGTCTGCCATTAACGGCCTTAATAGCTTTTGGTAAAGACACATCTCCAAGAAGAGATTCTTATGAATCTTGAGAGATCAATTATTCCTCACCTAACTACTCTAGTTAATCTTGCCAAAGGGATCAAGTATTTAGGCGTGCAATATCGAGTGTTGATAGGGAGGTCTTGCAAAACTGGTTAACTGGATGAAGGCTTTATGTAGGCCAAGTGTGTGCCTTTTGGACTGGATTTAAGGGTTAAGCTGTGTTAAACAGGGCTCATTCATATCATTCCTGGTGTATTCTGCACCATTTGCAAGGCCAGAGTACATGCTATATGCATTACTGGCAGGTCAGGGCTGTGTTCTCAGATAGTTTCCCACTGTCAGGGAAATCCTTTTGATTCTAGCTAGGTTTCAGTTTGAACTGCACAAAATCTGAAAACATTGAAAATGGTGGATTAAAAGAAATAAAAGTAATTTTTATTCTGAGAGAGAAAGTCAGGCATCCTTACAGTCATGTTATAGCCAACATACAAGTTGTGCTGTAGAAAAAAAAAAGTTTAAATAAACACTGTGGATTGCCAAGTTACAATATTGATGTAAGAAATGTTATACTATAAAATGTCATTAGAAGTAATCACTACCTCACACCATCAGACATTTTACAAGATTATTTGCTATTACATTTATGTATTAATACAATTATATCAATTTGCACATGTGAACCAAGGTAAATAATGGTGTGCTAAGGACAATGAGTTATGAATATATAGCATTTTAAAGAAGGAAAGAAAATAAATGGCATGAAACTCCATTTGCAGCCTTCACAGGAAATGGAGCACCATTCACACCAAAGGGATAGCAGATAAGACAATTTGTGAGCTGTTATGAGGCTCTACGCAGGCAGGAACTGACAAGGAACTCTTTTAACACCAATATTATTTAGGATCATTATAGGAATGTTGGGTTGCCAAGTGTGTAAAATACTTCATTGCTTCAATTGTTTATTAGAAGTTCTCTATCATTTCAGATAGGGAAGAGCAGCACTGTTTGATCCTTTTAGAACACAGCTGTGGGAGGAGGGGCTGAGATTCTGTCCTGCAAGGGAGGAAAAAAATCCCTTTGACATTCATACTGATATTCTGCAATTGCTGCAGATGCTTCAGCCCATTTTTGGTAGCTTTTCCTTTTTGCCCCTGCCTGCTCTGGGTCTTTCCCTTCTGCAGACTATTTACCAGCAAATTAACACCATTTCCATTTCTATTGAGATTTGAAATTGTTCTCATGTTGTCTCCAATTTCCACTGTTTTCTACTGTTACATTCTGATTTACCCTGTCTGCCTCTGCATGCATCTCTCCACTTTAAAATGTTCCCTTTGCCCCCGTGAACAGAACACTGTGAAACAGCAAGGGTAGCATAATGGTTGTACCATGAGCAGATGTTACCAAGCAGCCTTAGAAATGGCTGAAGTAAGTATATAATGTTGTTCTTCACCCCATTGCCTCCCCCATCCCCTTTGTTTCATATGGGTAAGAATTTCGTCTGAATTCTCTCACTTCATAAACTCATTCAAGTGAAGTTGTAAAGCCTGAAGCATACCGATTAAAGTAGAAAGAAAATGGAGACCCATCAGATGCATTATTGAAGTGGTCTGTGCAAGCCTTGAACTTGGTATTTTAAAGCACTTTCGTGGCAGAATAGTCAAACTGCTACTCTTATTCTGCAGGCTTCATTCCTTCTCATGAAAATTCTCAGTCTTTCCATCATTTCCATACATACACACCAATACCTAGCCTGACACAGGCAGCCTTTTTCTCCACAGGTTCTCAGGATTCTCTCAGGGTCTCTGCTGGTGCTGCTTCCTTCTTGCTTCACTTTGGTTGTGATGGTTGCCGGTGAAGGAAGAGCTGGAAAATAGGTGGATGTAGAGGTACTGTGTGTGCTGGTGGAGTTTCTTGGCTATGTACAAAGCCTTGAGTTAGCTGGGGTGGCTCTGCATGACAAAATGGAACGGGCCTCTCATGCCAGCTGAAGACCAGTGGTAAACAGCAAGATGACACTAACAAACTCTTACTGGCAAGAGGGTAGGCACGTACTAAGAAAGCTAGGACTGTTGCCATACCAGCTGTAGTAATGTCTAAAATCCTCTTGGTTATTGAAAAGGTCAAGCTAAACCGGTGTCAGGTTCACCTGGATTTCTCTAAATTTGTGGATCTGCATTCTGTTGGCTTCATGCCCAGATACATTGATGGACATAGCTTTGGTTTCCTTGTGTGGTTATCTGCGTCTGGTGATGGATAAAAAGGCCATGTGGCCATACTGATACTACATTTACCAGCTGCCATTGTTGTGGGAGACTGCAAAGTATTGCAGAGGAAAGGCTGTGTCTCTTCATAACCGAGCACTTTAACTTGAAATGTGTCTGGCTTTTACTGGACGAG